GTTTATGTGGACAATGGTACACAGCTCAAGGCTCTGCAGCATGCAAAGTTTTCAATTAGGGATTTAGAAACTCAGGTTCAGGATAATCTTGGGATCAAGATTATTGTTTCCAGTGCCAAGGCTCATTCTGAGCGAGGTAGAGTAGAGCGGAGAATTAGAGTCCTCAGAGAAACCATGGAGAAACTAGGGGTGGATACTACTGTTCCCATGACACCGCTTCAGTGGGATACATTGTTCTCTAGGATATCAAATTCAATAGATAATCTGCCTATAGCAAGGGGAGATACTTCAAATGAGACTTCACTGGGTTATGAGATTATTACACCTAATAGGTTGAAGTTGGGGAGGAATAATTACAGATCATTGGAGGGGAGTGGAATTGATCTTGATATGTCCTCTAATTTTACTCAAATCTTGGATAGAAACCGATCTATTTATCAGCAATGGTATCAATCTTTTATGCAAAATGTACATCTTTTAAATCTTCGTCCTAATAAATGGTTGAAATCAAGCCGGTTGCCTAAAGTAAATGATCTTGTCATTTTTGTGTTCAATGATAGTAATCACACAAAGGGTTCCATTAATTGGAAACTTGGAAAGGTTGTTGGAGTTAAAGGAAATAAAGTATCACTGAAATATTCGATTAAAGCCACAGGGGTTGAGCAAACTTTGGAAAGGAGCCTAAGGGACATTAGTATTGTGTATTCTGTTGGAGAATTTTTGATTAACACTCTAGATCATTTTGATGAGTGTTCTAAGCTATCTCAGAGTCGGGAGGAGTAATCCTGCTCTGATCATTACAATACTAATGTCTACAGTTTGCTTTAATCGAGGGGGGGTTACTATCATAAAAAATGGCTTTATTCTTACTGCAACCACTGATGCTTCCTTGGGATGTAAATATTGTACTATAAGTTTTGCTATTCCTTTAAAACCTTTTGCGTCTGCCGTGCCAGTGACCCGGAAAGATTTGCAAGGGGTCACGGAAAAAATGAGTCTTAAGGGGTTTAATCTTTCTGATTTCTTTGGATCTGCCGGATTAAAATTCCGGAAAGATTTGCATAGAATGTCAAAGATTTTTTACAAAGAATTTTATGGTTCTTATTTTAGACTCCTGACTGCAGAGGATTTCCGGAGAAATATCTCAAGAAGGACAGATGAGGAGAGAGCGAAGGAGTATACTGAGTCCATGAGGTTGTTGATTCCTCAACCTGAGGAGATGATATGGGGGGAGCTGAGAGCTGGGAGTAAAGCAGCCATAGTTGGAGAGATCGTGGGATGGACACCAAGGATTAATACTGGCAAGGATACTGTTTGCATGCAGAGGTATATAACCAGAATCTCAAAGGATGGTCTAGATCAGCCTAGTTTCATGAGAGTGAGACAGTATCTCCCTGCAGAAGCTCCATTATTGGACTACCTTGTTGAGGAATATGAGAGGGTTGATGGATGGAAGTATCCTAGACTGGAGGATTTGAAGTTCTATCAGGCCAACAGAGGTTTAAATCTAGACATGTTGAAGCAGGTGGAAGTTCGGGAACTGGTTTGTGGTGTAAGCTCAAGAGAGGAGATACTGGAGGTTGGAGAGTGGATAAGAGAGAGGTATGCGTCTGATCAGGAGAAGTTCGGGACTGGAGTAGTTTCTTTTGATGTGGAAGATGTAAAGACTACCTTTTATGATACATTGAGAATGTCGGGGAAGATCCAGATCTCTGGGGGTCAGGCTGTGTTAAGGAAGAAGGTGGAGACTGAAGCTGTTTATGGATATTTGAAAGACGACTGGAGACAAGTTCCTGCCAAGATCATGTTTGGAAATGGAGTTTCTTGGACCTGCTTAATTTCTCTGAGTTTGGAGGTGGATGAGAGATATCAGTACATCGTGAAGAAGATGGTGATCCAGCCAGAAATTCTAGATTTGATTCGTGATCTCCCCGTGGTTACTGGTCTGGCGATCCGAAGAGATGTACAGGGGGTGGAAGAATTTTACTCTCTTATCTCTGGTGAGGAGGTGATCATGGAGAGAGGATTCGTGGACCTAACATCATTAGCGATACTGGCGGGTTATAAGCTCCAGGCTAGGAACATGACTGCTATGGGTGTGCAAGTGATGGGTACCTTATTGAATAAGACAGTCTCAACAGCTGATGATTGCTGGGGATCCCGGTGGGCTGATATCCCTAAATGCCTTCAATGTTATGCTCTCGGAGATATTAAGTTTGGTTTCATTACCTACTCTGTGTTAGCTGGAGTATTGTTGAGAGATGTGTTCCCGGATCCAGATGTGGTCTGCAGATATTTAAAATGTGATCAAAATACAGCGGTAGACTGGTTCCTGGAATTTGTTCTGAACTCCTTAGAGACTGTGGAGTTCCATCAGGCCGTAGAGGAGCAAGCAGAGACTCGGGAGGAGATGATTAGTTCCTTGAGGAGGAGAGACTCCAGGGGGAAACTGTGTGACTCTCCTCCAAGCTTTATCAGGTTATGGTTGGAGCTACTAGGTTCCTGGCCTTCCATAACATTTGGAGGGTGTCGATACCTGTTACAGTGCAGACAATGGTTCCTTGTTCAAGTCAGGGTTCTGGCTAGAGCAAAGGTTCGGTGGACTGATGGACGTGTGTTGGAGTTGCCTGAAGAGGAAAACCTGGAGTACTCTAGGTTTGGTTTATCTGCGGAGGATATTGGAGAGCAGTCCTGGACTCAACCTGTCATAGGAGCTCGGGGTATGGTTCGTCCTCCAGGAATTAGGATCAAGCTTCTTGAGTTTGATGTTTCCTCTACTAAACCCTGTGAGATTGGGAGGAAATGTACCATGCTAGGCCGGAACCAGAGATGGTCGTTGCTAGAATGGGCTAGACTTAATCCAGGACTGTTACGGACGTTTTTCGTGAGGATGGTGAGAGATACTGGGTTCCAGGTTCATTATGCTAATTTGTATGATGGAATGAGGTTGATGCACAAGCGGATCCTGGACATGGAGGCCCCTAGAGTGAGGAGAGTAGAGGAGTCCTTGACTAAGTCCGTCCTGAAGTCATTGTCAGTTGAGAAAGCTGGGTTAGAAAGGTCCATGGCTGAGACTCGAGTTCGAATGGCTGAGGGTGGAGAAGTTGGATCAGTTGAGCCGAGATTGGATTTATGAGGAGCGGACAAGGTGGTCTGAAGAAGTTCCTCTGATTCCTAGCAGTAAGCAGAGGGAGAGTAGGAAGAGATCCAGGAGTAGGTCCAAGGTCAGACTTGAGAGGAGTAAGAAGATGCGGGTTCAGCCCAAAGAGGATGCTAGTCTGGAGAGGGGAGTTCTTGGTGAGGAAACGCATATCAAGGTTTCAGTCCAGCCTGATCCAGGTTTACCTGGAGTAGGGAATGGAGTTGATACTTTGCATAGTGTGCCTGACCAGGGTAAAGAGAAGGAGATGGAGGAGTCTGGTGTAGACTCAAATAGCGTGAAGGATCTCCTGGCCCGATTGAAGTGTAGGAGGAGTGTGGTGAAACCTGCTAGAGATAGATCTGGGTCCCGGAGAGTCTTGTCCTATGATGAGATTATTGAGGGTCCTCCTAGGGTGGAGAATGCGTATGAGGATCTTGATTCTGTGTTCGAGATTCCTAGTGAAGTAGAAGACTTCGAGGTTTAGATTGATGAGGGAGCGATTGAGGACGCTCTTAAGTGATAACAGTGTTTTTTTTTTCAGGTCTTAGTGATTAGAAACCATGTATTCTCATGATAATAAGAAACCGGTCGCGGGGTGCAATCAAACTTTTTCTTGTTTCTCTTGGTTGCGGAGTGTTACGCGACCACGTCACGTATGTAATGTTCTATAAAGATGATGGCCCCTGTGTGGTTGCGCTGAAGAGATTCTGAAAATAACCATATTTTATCTTTTGTAGAGTGACAGGAATGTTAAAATTGCTGTACAGAATACAATTCAATTCATTAATTTTAATTCATTAAAATTTATCTGGTTAAGCTTTAAAAAAAATGTTTAATTCTTGACAAAGTTTTTTATAAAAAATAGCAATAGGCAAAAAACATGCTCTTGCATTACCTAGCAAAATGTTAACCTAGGCAAAATGTTACCTAGGCAAAAGTGAACTAGGCAAAATGTGAATAGGTAAATTGTGACTAGGGAAAATGTAGCAGAGCCATTTCTGAGCTGTTCTAATACTACATACAATTTAACCCAGAACTTCAAACACACCAAAAGAATTTATAACCCCACTGATAATGGAATACTGCAGCTAATTAGTTTTTTAATCAAATAATTTATTTTTACATAACACTGAGGTTTAGGCAAAACAGTATACAATCCGTTGACAAATTGTCAAGACATTTATAAATCTTTTTGATGTCTCAGTAGTTCTTGGTTAAACTGAATATTTTACTTTTATTAGAATTTGATTTAATATTACTCAGATGATGTAAGTCAATAAAAAATTTTCTGATTATGCTTCAAGAGTCTTTGTTGCTGGCTGTGTTTCATATGCATTAGATTATTCAACAGTCATTGTTTAACATTTAAATAGCTCCAATTTACTTACTTGTTGTAGTGCAGTCATAACATTCAGTTGTTGTGGCTGATAAAAAATAATAAAATTTTAATTTTATAATCATGAAAAATATAATGTCATTCTACTTACGTAATACACAATTATAGTCAGACCATTTAACTGAATCAAAAGAGCCAGATTCCTAAAATTTATTGAGAGTAATCATAAATAAAATCGACTTTTTCTGCATCATTGGTTGGCATATATAAATAAATAGAAGACATCTTTTAATTGCAGTTGAGATCTCTAGCAGGTTTCATATAACCAATACTGAATCCTTGTTCAGGAAATAAATTTAATTAATTTAATTTAATGTTTCTTGTTTTCGCTTTCCAATTTTGTATTTCTCTTGATCCCATGTACATTCTACAATCTACAAGCCCAATTGATTTACACACCTGACATGTTGTCAAAACAAATGGTGTAGCAAACCAATCTGAATCAAACACTTCTCCAGGGGGACAAACATAGGTTATATTAAACCCAATTGGAGGAGCAGGACTCAAGTCTAATAAATGGCTATTTTGTTAAGGAGAAAATAATTTCAAAGAATTACATTTACAGTTTTACATTAGTAGAGTTAAGTTTTTTAGAACACCATGAAATATAACTTTTTATATGTAAAATACCCAAATTACCTTTGCCTCCAATCCCAATGAAATTAATGACTATATCACCAGTTACTTTGATCAAAGTTAAATTCTCCAAAGGGACAGCATGTAAAACAGAATCATATGGAAGTTCAGTGTTAACTTGAAGATTCCAGCCATCTTGATCACAGCTCAGATTTAAAGTAAATGGTTCGTCATAATCTATACTTGTCCCATCTCCAGTTGCACCAGCAACCTCTGATTTGGTTTCATTGATAACACTGTATCTTTCAATCATATTTTTTTAAAGATTTATATTGATATGTAATCCTTCAGTGACAGTGTTTTCCACAATTGATATTGCTGGAATAGATTTAGCGTGGCTGGGAATGCTTCCAATAATCATAAGTTTGATATTTGCTGAGCAGAAGCTAGATCCAGGAAATGGTAATTTCGCGGGAATTTCAGGATTATACTGACTGGTTTCTGAGTAGATAATAGTGTCAGAATGTTTAGTTTAAATTTTCTGATGTTGAAACAAAATGTTTTTTTCAAATAAAATGTAATAACCTGAAACTGTTAGAGAGTTTTTATGATCGGGACGGTAGACAAGACCTGTATCCCTAGATGGAGCAGGAATCTCTTGACAATGTGTTGCTGAATATGTTTAAAAATAAACAAGATAAAAATAAATATTAAATAGAACAAGATTTCTTTTGTCATAATTGAGGCTTTAAATAATGAATATTTACCTTGACAAGGATCCAGTAGAGGAGGTGTCCAGGTTTTATTCCAAGCACACACTGAAGTTGTGGCAGCATATAGCTCTCCATTAGGTGTTTTAAACTTTCCAAAAGGACCACAGGTGTAAAATATTTTTGTCAGGTATTTATATGAGTGATTCCATTCCCAAGTTCCTGATTGAGGCCTTTGAGGAGGTTCCGTACAGTTTATTGCTAAATTAAATTGTTTTCTTTTTCTTGATATCTTTTTCCCAATGAATAACTGAATTTCATACTTACATGGCAAACATCTAGGCCAGAGATCTGGTATTTGCCAGGAACCTCCTGGTAGACAAGTTATATTCCATTGAACTAAATCTTTGTCTTGCTCAAAGAACAAAGAGTCATTTTTACACCTGTATCCAACTGTACTATAAAAATCCACTGGAGTTTCATTCCACATAGATATTAATTCAGATGATACAGGAGGCTAAAAGTAATATTAAGAAGTATATTTAAGCTATTTAATACAACTAAGTTTATTCCAAACTAGATATTTATAAAAAAAAACTTTTTGAATGTTATACTTTTATCAAAATATGGAAATAAAGCTAATCAAAGAGCAGGGATGGGGTTTAACAAGCAGATCAGTCCAATTACTTATTGTCGCAACCTTTATATGATTTGAGTGGCTTTACCTTAGGTGGATTAATACATTGCACCCAGACACACTCATCAAGAGTATCAGAAGGTGTCCAACTTTTGTTCCAATTACAGCTCATCCATCTTTCATTGTATGTTTTCTTGGTTTCCTTGCTAAAAAACTTTCTGGCAAGTCCACATGCATACCTAATGAAATTTATTAACTTTATAAGGCAGGTTTAACTTAATTTTATAAGATTTAAATCAGTGAGCATGCAAGGCATATATCAAAATTTTGCACTTGCAAAATTGGTTTCTATGTTTAGGTTTGCTTGTGGCATACAACAACTGAAGAATTTTAGGAGAACCATTCTTTCAGGAAATATTTATTGCCAGCACTTTTTTTGAAATCTTTATTTGACCAGTATAAATTTGTCTTACCTGAGATTTGCTCCATATTTTCTTTGAACTCTACTTTCATTATTTGTAACAGATCCATAGGATTTGGATCCTGCATTAACTGTAAAAGTTCCACAAAGTGCTAAAAAGACATTTTACACAAGTAGTTTGTAAGATATGGATTCAATGACCAATATTTCCCTGCTAAAAGTTTAGTCTAGAAAACCAACTGGTTTTTTTTTAAATTTTTTACCTTGTTTAAATACTTTCATGTGAGTCTCATCATTTTGACCAGCATCATATGTAGAACTGTTTAAGTTCTTAACCTTCATGATTTCATTAATCATTGTCTCTTTCATTGTATCATAAGACAGATTTTTCATTTCAGTTTTACTCTTAATTGTATCTGTAAGGGCAAGGTACATAAACGCAATAGAGCACAATGACCCTTTTGCATTACTGACATCTCTAAAAACATAAGTGAAATTATTGAAAAATATAATATTATCAAATGAACAAAACATGGAATAAAAACCTGCTGCTTAGATCCTGAATGGTATGAACACCACTGTCAACATGCTTGCTGAGCTCAGATATCAGAATAGTTTTCATGTCTTCATTTGTGACATTTACCAAGTCCAAATGGGATTTCCATAAATTCAATGTTAAAGAATTGTAAAAACAATTTTTATCATTGACAGAAACATCCCAATCCTGGCAGCGAACTTAAAAGATATTTTGATAAAACAAGAAATATCCCTACACATTCTTTCATCAAATCATAAAAAAAACTTACTGCATACATAATTCAACAATAACTGATTTTTTTGTTTCTTATCACAAGGAGATTTCCAGGTTTGAAAGGAGGTTTCTACTGATATTGTGCAGTTATATTTGGAAACACATGTAGTTCGAGAAGTGTTGACAACCTATAGTAATTACAAAGAAGTAATAAGATTTTGCAGTCTTGTGGATTGTACCTGAAGATTTAAGCAATCAGACCCAAGAGTAACAGAATCTTTATTTCCATTGCACAACTGGTTAGTTCCTTGAACTCTTCCGTAATATCCAGATGTAATATGAATACTCAGAAAGGAAGGACATATCATGTTAACCAAAGCCCCATCTACATTGCAGGATTCTTGAACCATTGCAGGAAATATTGTCAGATAATTTTCAACCAAACCCTCAAATGGGGCATTTGGTGGTACTGGGCAGAATGTAGCTAAAATTAAATGTAAACATAATTTAACAATTCAATCTACTCCTTAAATGTATTACCTTCTGTGCATTTTGGCCACTGATCATCTGTTGCTGGAGTGTTAAAAAAACCTCTGATTGTACCAGGTCTTTTCCCATCTTGACATTGATACTTACTACTTTCTTGATATTGATCATCTTCAAATTGAAATCCTTTTTCACAGACATATGTAACTTGATCTCCAAAATTAACAGGATTCCCATCCCAATATGTTATTCTTAGGTTTGACATGGCTGGGGGTTGTGGGGGTTTTAAGCACTGAACCCAGTCACAAGGATCAAGTTCATTGATTGCTGTCCAGTTCTTGTCCCAGAGACATGTCATTCGATGAATATCATGATGGTTTCCATCCTGATCTAGAAATTTTCTTGCAGACCCACAGTGATACCTTAAATATCCATCAGTATAAATTTAGCTAGTGATGCTAGAAGGATTGAACCTTTAACGGAGCCGGTTAAGAAGTTTTAATAATATAAGAGCCAAACTGGTCAGTATACTACTAGATGTTAACTGAAGCTGAAGAACAGGACTAAAATGAACTTTACAAAATTTAAAGCAAGATATGGAGTTAGACTAGGCAAAGAGGATACAGTAATGCTGCACAGCTGCAGCAGAGACAGAAACAACACAGGCAAGTTGAACTTCAATCAAATCAGAACTAAGATATCGTTAGAAAAACCTTTAATTTAGCAATTCGATGTTTATATAAACAGTGAGTAAAAAGATAAAATTAAAAGATTAAAAGATAAAATGACAGGAAGTCACCATCGAAAATGCCTGGTCTGCAGACTTAACATGTGCAAGGACAGTTGTCAGACAAGCAAATACTCTAACTGCTATGGGTCTGAAGAATACCAGGAACATGAACCAGAGGATGAAGATCACATGCAAAGATGTGAATGAGAACAATGAAGTAGAGTGCAATTTTAAAGAATAATTTAACTCAAGATCTGCTCTGGAGGGTACCCTACAAATAGGAAAGTATAATAGTACAGCCTGTTGCTTTGAAACCCCCATCAAGAAACAGCTTTCTTAGCACATGGATTAGAAAGAAAATTTTTATTTTAGATGAACTGCAATTCAGGGATAACTGAGCTTAATCTTTTTTTGATTGTGATGGGGAGATGCAGGTTGCAACACCAAGCCAGTTAAGATGTAGTATATAATGTAAGAATAAGTAGGAAATAGGTAGACCAATAAGAGACAGAGACAAAACAGTTTAGACATAAAAGAGAAAAGATGTAGTTGAGAAGGAAACTCATTAAACCAAAAATAAAGGCTTGAGAAGGAAAACCTGTAAAATGAGAAACAAAACTCAGAAAGTCTGAGAAGAACAAACTTCAAAAACCCAGTAAAAAGAAGAAAAAAAGATAATAAAGATCAAATAAAGCATTAAATGAAAAATAGTTAAGGCAAGCTAAGTTAAAGAAAGAGTAAGAACAGCTGGGTGTTGCAAGCTAAGTCAGTTGAACTGGGGAGGGGAGAAGGAATAGGAGGACCAGGAGTGGTGGGGGGTGGAGGAAGAGACAGGAAATGGAAAAGAAATATCTAAATAAGGAAAATTAAAGTTGGAGTGTTTAATGTTGGAATTTGTCTTTAGCTCAATTTGTTTGCCAAACATCAAAAATATATAATGAATAATAACAAAAGTGAATATGATATTATGCAGTTTCTGTTAATACCAGGAAAAGCAAAAAAAACGTTATGCTAAAGTAAATCAACTTTTAAATCATGAAATGAAAATTACATGCTTAAATGGTTTTAATCAATACTTCATCATTAATACAAACTTTAAAAATGAATGAATATATTTATTCTATACATTACGTTAGGTTTGCCATGTAGTTCCTAGGTATTTCAGTATTATTTCTATCAGATCTATAGACAGTATGAATAAGAGCTCCTGAAGGGAAGTTTATCTTGTCAATGACAACATGGCCGTCATCATTTGGATCAGAATATTCTGGATCTGATGAAATAGATGGAGGAAGCTTCTCACACTCAATATCTTTAAAAGAAATTAAATAACAACTGACTTCTTATAATATACAAGTGTAATTTACCTTCAACACAAACAGGCCAATTTTCAGTTTTATTTAAGAACCCAAATGTTCCGTTTGGTAAACATGACATGCTAAATGAGGATTTAGAGCGATCATGTAGAAAAAACATTGTATGCACTCCATTACTACTTCTCTTTGAACATCTGTATTCTTTGTTTGAGTTTATTCTTGGGAGTTCAGATGTAGATTCTTCTAAAGATGTGATCAGGTCTTAGTGATTAGAAACCATGGATTCTCGTGATAATGAGAAATCGGTCGCGGGGTGCAATCAAACTTTTTTCTGTTTTCTTTTGGTTGCGGAGTGTTACGCAACCATGTCACGTATACAATGTTTTATAAAGATGATAGCCCCTGTGTGAATACGATGGAGAGATTCTGAAGTACCCCTGATTCCTCATACTGTGTGCGGACAGAAGTTTCCAGAAGCCGGTTTCTAAAAACTTGTTTATAGTATAAATCTAGCATACACTTTTCGGCGCAGTTGAGATTCGATCTTGAAACGTTTTGTAAGACGCCATATACATTTTCTGTTAAATCGAATTGTGACTCGATGTGGAGGCTCAATATGGTAAGCTACGCTAGATTTATTAAAATATATATTGTATTTTGTTCTATAAAGTAAACATACAGGTTTTTTTAGCCCTATTTTATTAAATTAACAGTATTTGTATTGTATTTACGTCTTGTTCATGTCTTCGCATTTTTAAAGGGGGCTTTTTCCTGTATAAAAAAAATATATAAAAAGTAAAAAGATTATTGAGTTCTAGTTGTGTTTTTCTTAGTTGAACCGCTGAAATATATTCCCTGAACTCTTGCTTGGCTTCAAAATGAGTGCGAGAAAAGGGAGAAAAGGTTACGACAAACCATCACAGAAAGTCACAAGGTACATGTATTCGCTGGTAGCAAAACAGTTCCTAATACAGGACGACATGGATTGAAAAGAGAGGAGGCAGAGGTGCACTTTTTAAGCCTGAGGTGTGGAACCAGTACGTCACTGTCCTTGAGGGGGGACTTGAAACCAACAACATGCTGGAGTCATTTAACAGAACCTGGAATAGTTTGTCTGGCTAAAGCCGAATGTATTTGCTATCCAAGAGCTATTTGTTAAACAGGATGCTGAGGCTGGGAGGGCTTATCTATCGAATGCAGTCGGCCTGGACATGGCAACAAATTCAGGTCGAAAGCAGAGATCAATGGACTCCAGACAGAGGGTGAAATTTGTTGAAGAAGCTTTCTATACCATGCCGAAAGCTGATTATATCCAAACCCTTGCACATGACCAGCAGAAGATAAATAATGATAAATAAAGATCACCTGTATGTATTCCTATGAAAAAATCATTAACACAATATCAATGAACAAAACAACATTTCAGAAATCTAAATAAAACCCATTTTAGTGCTTTACTTAGACCTAACTTTAAACTGATTGAGCAAATTTCATTAGTATTCATACCTAACTTGATCATCAACGTACACTGTTGTATCATTAGAGACTAAGGTAGCAATACCATCAGGAATAACTAAAGCTCCAGGGTGAGGACACAATATTTCTAGAATTTGTTTTTTTATTATTAGATAAAATTAACATTAAGTAAATAAGTACAAAATAAAATAGTTTAGTTACTTGAGCAAGATGTTGGAAGAGAGAAATCAAAAATCCATTTTGGAACATTACTCACTGAACTTGTACAAGTTGCTTTTATCTCTTTTGTCAGCACTGAATTTGAAGTCATTATCAGGGAATTGACATAATTCTATTAAAACACAATATTTTTTACCTTGAGACCCAAAATTGGTATTGAACTCATATCCAGTAATACAAGTATAAGTCTTAATTTTTCCCACAATAGTATGTCCATTTAGATTATTAGAAGATGCATATGTTGGGTTGGATGGAAGAGCTTCACTGCAATATGCTGTAAAACAAATGATATTACTGTCCTTAGAACTAATTAAAAAAAATATTAAAATTTCATCATATTCATGTCATAAAATAAATCAATATGTATACTTTAGATGCAAAGCAAAGAAAATTGACTCAAATAGGGTTTCATCAAAGTGATCACATTTTTGGCCCAAAATTTGCATATTTTGTGCAAAACAAAAATTGTCATGCAAAACATGAAATTTTTAAGCAAATTGACTAAAATTGATAATCTTTAGCACAGAATCAAATAACTAAAGGTTTATTTAAAAATTTACAAACAAGCAAAATCATGATTATGCTATTTTAAATTATTGTTTCCAGGAAATGGCAATATTTCTTATGAACACATGGAGTGCAATAAGTTTTGCATGTTTTTTTTACATAATTTACTCAAAACCAGAAGTGTTACGCAAAAACATAATTTTTTGTTATTGTAACTTGCTCAAAATTGACAGTTTCAGCACAAAATCAAACAAGTGAAGGTTTATTCAAAAAATTACATACAAATATGTTTTGATTTTGCTCCTTTTAATTGGTTACTTTTAGTTACAAAATCTTCAAATTGAGGAACTTGAATTAATAAAATAGAAAATATAATATTTAAAATTGATGGATAGTCTTTGTGTTTTAATAAACTTTGATATTGCACATCTTGATTTTGAGTGTGCCACCATACATCAGATTGCAAAATAGAGTTTTATGCAATTAATCATTTCCTTTAAAGCGTTAAAATCAAATGCAAACAAGTGCAATCTCATGGATGACCATTTATACAGTTTACACCTTTATTCAATCTTTTACCGAGAATGTGTTTCACAAAATTGGGAAAACAGAATAAGACAAAAGCAGAAAAGCGCAATTATGCGAGAATTGAAGTTTACAAAGTTTGCATCAAAAGACAAAACTTGCGCTATCTTTCACAAAAATTGCGCAAAAGTTTTGCAAATGGAAACCCTACATAAACAAGTGTGGAACTTACTAGAAAATATAAACAAAAAAGCTAAGATCTTAATAAAACAATTTCATTATTTGATGTTTATTTTCATTTTTAAACAAATTTATTACCAAAACAGTCTCCCAAAGTTGATCCATATTCATATTTCCAAGCCATGTCAAAGATATCAATATCATAAGTGCAAGTTCCAGTTTTTGTTGTGAAAGCTGTATAATATCCATTATTCTCATGAAAAAAAGCATATCCATCATTACATTTAGCCTCAAATGTATTGGATGCACTTATTTTTGAAGATGAGAAATTGGAAGTCATATGTTGACCTGTGACACTGGCTGGACAGTTCTTTTCTGAACAATAATATTGTCTAAATATATTAAAAAACATAACTGTCAACTTAAATAAAAAAATAAGAAAATACCTCCTGAGCAGCCTGGCATGCACGCCCCAGCCTCCTGCATTTTACCGTCTTCAGTCAGTCTGATTGCACATCCACCATTGTTGCATGTCGTCCTAGTGATGGTACCATCAGGTCTTCTGAAGGGAAAGATACATTGGTCCCCATTGTCAGCAGTACATCCAGGTTCTGTTGTCACTAAGAATATATGTATATTAGGTCTAATTTGACTAATTAAGTTATTTTTAAGAATGCATACCAACAAGTATCTCTGCACTTCTAATTCTTCTGTTTTGTTCTTGCAGGGCTTGAATAGCTGTAACAGGAACATTAGGTCCCTCCCATTCTATCCACTTGTTTTGTTTCATTGTTTGTATACCTTAATAATTTTTTCCCCATAAATTTTTAAGGTAAAATGAAAAGAGGGTATGGGCCTAGAAATATTTGATGTAATCCAGACCAATAATATCTATCTGATGTCCTCATTTTCAAAAATTGTTATAAAACTGTGTCAGAGTAATTTAAAAAAAGAAAACTCAGAAATGAAAGAGCAGTTGAGATCTAGCATGGACTCTAAGTAGTTTATAATAAAAAATGTTGAATAGTTTGTGATAACCTTCTTGCTTTTTACTGCAAGAAAAATTCTTTTTCTAAAGGGTGAGTATAACAACTGTGATTATTGATGAGGCTGAAGATGAGGAGATTGATGAAGAGATGATGATAGTAGAGGTTGAAGAGGACACAGATCATGAACAGGAAGACATTAATGATCCCAAACCTTCATGCAGGAATACAATATTGGAGAAGAGTAAGAAAAAGAAGAAGAAGAAAGGATCAGCTATGGTTAGGTCCTACGATGAGATCATTGAATCTGGAGTGATGATGAGTATGATTTTGAAGGGTCCTTCTCCGGAGATTTGATTTAACAAGATTATTTAAAAAATGTTGAAGTATTCCCAAAGTCTTTTGTAATGTCGAATTGATACCATTCTTTTGAGTCATAGATTACGGGTAATGAGGTATTTATCTAGGATTAAAAACTGCTCTGTACATTGATTTATATGGATGTTTGTCTTCACATATTTTAGTTTGTATATGGATCATGATGATCATACTTGCTGTGGTGTTAATCAAGATATAATTTGCTAAGTTATATGATCTACATTTTGAGTGCTTGGATCTCTCGCATCTCAAAATAATTGATCATTGGTTTTTTGGCAATTCTGATAAAGATCATTTTATAGTTTGTCTAAACAGTTAATCGTTAATAGCGGATCTCTATCATCCCTATGATAGTTATAAATGATAATTTTATGTGTTACATTGTTAATAAAAGTTTAGTTATATAAGGTGTCATTTATTTAGTGAATTTTTAATGTAGATTCCATATTGATCATGACACCCAAGGGGATGACCAGACTTGAATAACAAAATTTGTTTAGAAAAAATTGAATTGCATAGTCAACTTATCTTTTTGACAAAGCCCATGATTTATTTGTTTGTGTTTGGATACTTGCCCGCAGGGGGGGGGGGGAGTGTTTTGTGGATTTGGGGAATCCTTGGACCACAAGAAGTATCCAAGCCAAACCAAACCAAATTACAGACAGAAGCGGTTTGAAAGCTTTAGCATCATGGAACTGCAGATCAGAGACAGATCCCGTCCAAAGCATTAGTACCAACGCTGCTCAGAGGAGCAAGATTTTAGTTTGATACTATTTGCATCTCAGTGTTTTCATTTTGTTTATTGTCTAGTATTGATAAATTTTTCCATGAAAGTTTAAAGCATATGGTTACGCTCCGACTTAATTAAACAATGTTATTCAAGTCCTGGTTCATTTCATAATTAATTGAAATACGCTTGAGTTCTACCAATTTGTTCAGAGGACAAAGGAGCACTACGGTAAGAGAATATAGGATGAAAACGGGGTTAACATGGTCAATGTTGATTATATAAGGGGGTTTGATAGACAGAGAATGTATTTGTTGTATATATGTATATGATTTTAAATGTGACCGATGATTTTTGACAAAAGATGATTTTTTAGTATTAAAACGTCTTTTCTAATTTGAACTTAGATTGCGGTTTATTGCAGCACAATGCCAGTGTAGTTCATCAAGTTGCAGTTAAACTCAGAGTTCTAAGACCTGAGCTGAAAACTTTAGAATAGGATATCCTTAATCCCAATCAGTTAATTAATTTGGAGATTAATAACACAATTGAGCTTGGAACTTTAGAATGGTGGATATCAGGATTAATGCTTAATCCTCTCTTTTTGCTAATCTGGAGGCTAACATAATCTCGAGATTATGCTAGTCTCAAGATTAAATATTTAGATCAACAAATTTGATTCTATGAACATCGGTTTTGTTTGTTTTCTTGACTGGAAGGGACTTCACTTGAATTCTCACCCATTTATGTATTGATACTTTAGTTAAATTGGTTAAAAAAGAATCTAAAATGTATTATTGAATATTTTTCTTCACCGATTAATTTACAAAATGGCAGACAACGAATTCTTTATTTGTTAGAAATTGTTGATTTCTCTTATGGGATTGAATTTAGTTTCAAGGCTGTCATTGGTCAATACAATTTACAAACTATATTTCTGCACTCTCATTGGAGAACACAATGTACAGATATCCAAAGAGAGAGAAAAAGAGTGGATTAAGGACTAAAATTAAAAGTTTCTACTGTGGATATTCGGATTAAGTAGTAGGGATGAAAGGTTATCAATTCTAAAGTTCCCAACACTGTGTCACTGTGAACGACAAGGTAGGACAGATTTTCTTCTGGGATCATCATTATTTTATGATTCATTGAGATATGACAGCTCAAAAAAGCTGCCAAAATTATACTAAAACAATAATGTCATCAATTACAATATAAATTACATAAAAAGTAATTACTTTAGACATATTTTATTGAATGAAAATCATGTCAACATTAACTTCATAAAAATGTGAAGGGGGTCTCAAATTTTTGTCAAATTTTTGCATATCTACACTGAATAAAACAAAAACAAGCAAAAAAAGCTAGAACTTATCTGGGTTCACAAGTTGCGCAAATATTTATAAAAAAATGAATTTGTAGAATGATCAGGGGTTAAATGGTGGCTAAAGTGAGCCGTTCATATTAACTACTTCATACAATTTACGTAGACAGTTTTAACTACTGGAAAGATGTGTTTTTAGAACTTTTATGCATTAAATATTTCATCATAGTTACTTTTGTTCTCAACCTACAGATTTTACAATTCTCAGGAACGTTTTTCCTTTTGACTGTTGCACTGTAAATATACATCAGCAACATTTTTTAAAATTTGTTTCTTAATTTAATTTTTTTAATATAATATTCAAAAATTATGTTTATTTGAAAACTAAAAATATTTCTTCCTTTTATTAAGTTTTTTGTAAAAGATATGTTTTTTCAACAAATGAAATTTGAAAAATTACAAAAATATTGTCAAAACATATACCTTCATTGTTGATTACAAATTAAATTCTTTTGACATTGATTTGTAATTTATTTCAATAAAAAAAAAATTACATTCTGATATTTCAAATTAAGAAAGTTTGTTAATCTCAAGCAAAAAATTTTAACAAATTCTTATGAGAAAACTAGATAGAGAGTGATAGAATCAAATTTAACTTATTAAAATAACAAGATATGACACGAAGCTGCCCAAACCTGTTAGTGTAGCATGTAATAGATAATTAGATTATTTTAAAAAGTTTTTTCAGTGAATGCATTAGTTGTTAGTTTCTTTTTGCCTAACAAATATCACATTTGCTGGTAAAACAAGCATCAATCATCATCAGCATGAATGAATAGTGTTATACTTGTGAAATAATACAGTGGTGCAATAATACCAAGACAATGGTTAAAATTTTAATTTATATCGAGCTTTATAACAGGCTTTTAAACGACTTCTCTTTATTTACATGTAACCTTGAAATTCAGGAAAAAAGCTTGTTAACAATAAAACTTGAATTAAAAAGTCATTATAGAGGATGTGAGTCAGACTCTAATGAAAATGCATAAATAACTTCCAGTATATATATTTCTTATAACTTATTACTAGAGGGTTCAGAACTAGAGTAAATATCAATATCACATGTGTTTTTTAGTACTATGCCCCATATCTGATTATCCAGAAATTATGATTCAAGAGCTGCCGCATTTGGCCACTAGGTGGTGTCTACTCTAAAGAGGTGGCGAGAATATGTATCCTGAAATTGTTATATTTGTATCCACTTTTTTTAATAATAATGACTTGCATTATTAACAGTTTTAAAAATATTGTTCTGCATTCAGTTTTTCTTATAAAAATAATAAAAAAATGTAGATTTTTTTTTATTTTCGCCGTTTTCAAAATATTCATAATTTAGGGATAATTTATTAAAAAAAACCTCTGTGATTCGCTTTTCGAAAAATTCTTATTTTTTTATTACGTTTTAATATTTACAGTGTGGGATTTGATATTTTTGTTTCAATTCTATTATATTGTTGAATCAAAACTGAGCTGAACAGTATAAAATACACTCAAGTTTATACATAATAGTTTATCATTTTGAAGAAGAAATAAAAGCCAAAGAAATAGCTTTGCTGGTTCTTGTTTTAACTCTGTTCATTGGGTTTTTATTTCATTTGACAAATCAAGATGGGACAAATACCTGTCCAACTAGACCAAGATCCAGAAACCATATATTGCAATTTAATGAAGCTTTGACTGTCTTGACCCTCATCAGTTCCCAGCATATAGATCCATCTAACTGTGACAGGAGAGCTGTATGTCAATTGTGCCCACCTAAACATAAGAAAAACTCAAGACAAAAGAAAATTTTATTAATTGAAGACAGGTTGCTTATCACATCAGTTTCAGAAATTAAAACAAATATGTAAATTTCATTAAATTAAAATCAGATGGTGATCAGTTGTTTACTGAGCAGATCATGATCAGAAGCTTTCCAAATCAACATGTTAATGGAGGGAGGGGGTGCAGAGGCGCCATGATCCCCGCAAAAATGACCTCCGAACCTCAGGATTTGCAGAATTACCTCCAGGCCCCGCAAAACTGGTCTCTCAGCCTCAGTAATGTCACCAAGCCTCCCGCCATTCTGTCTCCACGCCCCGCATTTTGGTCTCCACTTGTTGTGTTTATTTTTTGTTTAAATTTATTGGCTTAACCAAACAAATATCAAAATATATNAGTTTGGAGGTCTATAAACACTTCCAATAATTATAAATTTCTTTAAAGAAACTTTGACTTTTAAAAAGATAGATTCAAAAACTCTTTCCTTAAAATCATGTCATTTTTTACCCAACAGGCTAACCCTCCCCTACCATGGAACTCAAAATATCACTTTGATCCAGGTATATTTGTCTTTGGATTAAGATCTAGTAAAAAATCCCAAAAATGTTACCCTTGAAAGTGAAGATCAAATATGGATTAGATATCTATACTTTTGTTTATTTATTTTCAGTTACTCAGTAAAAGCAGCTTGCGCCTTTCTTGCATATAAAAAAATAATGGAGGAAATAAACACTTTTAACCCAATATATCAACAATATTTTCCGCATTATTGATCTGATTATTCAAGGGCACAGTTCTTAATCTGGCATTGTCATCCTTGGATGAGAGAGCACACTTGAACTTACACTTACAGTCTCTTTAAACTTACCTATTGTTACCCTGATTGGATCTCCAGTAAGAACTAGTAGTCCAGTCCCCATCAATCAAAAACATTTTATCACCTCTGTCAGTGCTATGCACAGCCACCATTGCTGAAAGCAAAGAAATGTTTTGCTTACTTTTATCAAGGTGATATAGAATGCTTAATGTACAGTATTTTATGTAATTGTAACTGCATTGTATGTAATTATGCTGGCATGTACATAATTGTAATGAATTGTATGAAATTTTACTGCGTCTTTTGTAATTGTACTGAATATGTAGTAGTCTGTAATAGTAATTCCATTGTAGGTAATTGCACTGCAGTATACATAATTGTACTGAATTGTATGAAATTGTACTGCGTCTTATGTAATTTTACTGCGTCTTATGTAATTTTACTGCGTCTTATGTAATTGCACTGCATTGTATGTAATTTTACTGAATTGTAATTGTAATTAAAATTGTATTCCACTGTATGTAAATAGGAATTGTATGTAATTGTCCTGCATTGTACATTTGTAATTTTCCTGCTTTTTGTGAAATTGTGCAGCTTTGTATGCAATTGTACTACATTTTAAGTAATTGTATTACAATTTATTGTCATTATCAATAACAGTGAAAATAGTGGTCGTTGAACATTTTGGGAGTATTTTAGAAAAATATTCTTCATGTCACATTTTGCAAAGCACAAATCTTTTTTAGTGGAGTTAAGTGCACAAATTGGATAATTAATTTTATGCTTGGAAATACAAAAACTCTTACAAAACTCAAGGATTCTAAACAGTCAGTACCAGCCTATATTAAAAAAGACAAGATTATAAAAATACAATATGCTCCAACATCTGTCCATAATATTAGTCTATTTTACCTTAGAATAGACCTGAAATGGGCTTAAGAAAAGACAATTAAATTAAAATTAGGCTTTGTGGATTTCTTTGCAAATGAGCTGAGAAATCTAATTCTGGAAGTAAGCTCTAAATGGATTAAAAATAAAGATTAATTTCTATTTCATTAGAATATTATCACTTGATACCAAAAACAATTTAACTTTTATCAAACATTAATGCGTTTTAAATTGCACAACTTTATTTTATAAAGAAGAAAAGTTAATGTTTTCTCAGAAATACAATAACACATGTTTGGAAACTGTATAAATAAAATATGATAATTAATAAGTTACAATTTGTCATCTTCTAGTCTTTTCTTTGCTAGAATTCAGTGCTCAGTCTCGTCTATTCACCCTCTTTTAGCCCACATCACTGTGTATAGCCTGGTCTGAGCAGATTTTAAGAACTAATCTGGACAATATTTTTTGTATTAATTTAAAACCTTTACTTAGAGAAATTTATTTATGTAAAATAGTTATTTATTATAGACTTCCAACAGAGAAT